CTCCCTTTAGTTTACTTTAATTAATTTTTACATATATTAAGGAATTCATGTCTTAACATTAACTAACAATAAAATTGACCATATTAACTTTAATTTGTTTATTGAAAATATAACAAATACTGTTATGTTCTTTATTCCAAGAATAACTGTAAAAAAAAAAAATTAATTCCCTCTTAATATTTAAAAATATTAAATATTATGGATCATAAAATAAATATCAAAAATTCTAAGTAAAGTGGATCTAAGAAAGTAATAGTGTGTGCTAAGATACCACACTTGCAGAGTTTCAATTGTGATATTTATGTCACAGCATAGATAGCTGGAAACAGTTTGGGAACAACACACATGTGAACATAGTACAACCTTATCCAACGATCAGAGCCTTATCTGGACAGGATTCTTTAGATGTTTTTATAACAAGCATCGATATCTAAAAGTTGGTTCTAATGATGTGACGTGGCATCTCCCATTTATTTATTTATTTATTTCATTTTTTGTCTTTTTCCAAAAAAAATTCCCTTTAGTTTTTATATTTATAATAAAACATAATTTCAAAAAGTTGCTACCTTTCAAAATAGTCACTTCCATATTACTACGTCCGTTCTAGTCTGTGAACCTATTTTTCTTTTTGGTACGTTTCAAAAAGTATGATCCCTTTATAAATTTGGAAATAATTTTACTTAAACTTATTATTCTATCCTTAATGAGAAACTTTTATAACCACACAAATACTCTGGGTCCATTTTTGAATTGTTTAGGATCACAAATTTCAAAAGTCTTATTTTTTCTTAAACTCCGTGTCAAGTCAAACATGTTCACATAAATTAGAACGGAAGGAGTACAAGTATCCAACAATATGAATGTCTTGTGGTGATGTTGTGAAAGTTGTTAGGATCAAAATAATTATGTGTCATTTAGAAACTAATAAAAGTATATCTTGAACATCGATTAAATAACAAAAGAAAAATATATCAAAAGAGATACAAATATTTAACATTGTTAGATCAATGAATCTACATCCACAAGCGTAGCTGAGCAGTGCATGATATAAAAGAGTACAAAATATCGAAAGAATAATCTCACAAATTCACTCTAAAATAAAAGGGTAACACTTGTCTCACAACTTGTACCCCTAAACAAGACTCTTAAATATTTTCAAAAATACATTGTGGGTGCTACCAAGTGAGAATGAATAAACCTCAATTTATAGGAGTCCAAAATCATTTTCTCCGATAAAATGATTTCCCAAATATGAAAACTTTATTTTTTTTCAGTAAAAGAAAGAAAAATCAATTATAATAAATATGTTGTTTTCTTTCAAGGAAAAGAAAAATCAAATATGATAAAAAAGTTATGGTATCTGCCTGATATTTTAACATCCAATGATTTGCTCTTTAGAATTCTTTTTAATGCTATTTGTCCTTTTTTCCTCTTATCTTTCTCTAGGTAAAACTCACTGACAAATTTTAAGGGGAATAAACAAAATATTGCGCACTTAATTATGATTTTCTCAAGTATATATAGATAATTTAGTCAAAATCTTGATCGTACTATGTTCATGTAATTAACTAGAGATATAAAAATCTTTTGGTTTTACCGCTTATATTATTCTTTTCTTCTTTACAAAGTGGAAATAAAAATAGAAATATGAACTTAAATAGACACTTTAGTATGAAACCCTATAAATGGTTCACACGATTTACTCGGTGTCCATTCATGCATTGGCTTTTGAAGATATATTTTTTAATGTTCTCAATTTGGAAAGACACTCTACGTTCTCTATTTATTTGAAAAGGCAACATGGTTGAAAAACAAAGTAAACAATTTCGAACTAACAGGTACCTATTGTAATTCAACCATGTTGCCTTTTCAAACAGTATTAGTTTTCTAACTGTTAGAGAACGTATTGTTGCAACATGCACCTGTTAGTTAGAAACTAGTTTGAACATTATTAGTAGATAATAATATGAAGGATTACATCCTTTCAAACAAATTTAGCATTTTTTATGTAATTTTTTTAAAAGTATGGTATTTGAATTATTTAAAAAAATATTTTGATAAATTAACATTTGACCTAAGGGCTTTTTTTCATTTTTAATATAATATAGATAGATAGATGGATTACTACTTGTAGGTGCATACAGTTATTTTTTGTTCTTGTATTGGATACTAACCTTTCATATCATGATATGACCAAGTGCTTTCTAGATCAGACCTTCTAATTGGTATTTATCTCCAAAATATTTGGAGATACACATACAAGGTTTGAGAATCACCATTAGAACAATTTAAAGAATGCAAACCTATGACCTAACTAGCCAAATTTGTTACTGCTACTATTGGTAGTTTTATGAAGGAGCTAGCAATTTTCCTTAGTACTTGTTTTTGCGGAAAAGGGCCTAAACTACCCCTATAGTTTGCTAAATAGTTTACAAATACCCTCCGTCTATCTATTCGTCAGAAATAGCATACAGCGTTAATTCTATTAACAAAAATACCATCGCGTCTAATGACAGAATTGGTGGGTCTTTCATTAATGACGTGTCAATTTTTAACTGGGCCACGTGGCATTATTAACCAAGAATCAAATATGAGTCTTATTTTTACCCATCTCCCTCACGCCAAAAACGTTTCTTTCCCTCTAATTCACACACCACCATCTTCTTCCTCTAGAAACTCCATTGAAGCCCCCACAGACCTCCAAAAGCACAATTAAAACATCTCCAAAACAACTCCATTTAGCATAAAAGAAGCCATCAAAACCCAGATGATTTTCCATCATGTTCAGTCACAAAAATGAGCCCCAACCACCAGCCATTAGCCCCGTAGAATTATACTCAGAAACGCTGCCAAAAACCAGCCGAAACAACTTCCAAACACCATCCAAAAGCAGCTGAAAATCCACCACCAAACAGCCATAGCAAAACCAGTTCCATCACCATACTCCAACCCCGAAATTAAACCAATTGGAAACCAAACTCAAAACGCAGCTGAAAAACAGCCCTAAACCGAGCCCATCGGTCCCACAAAAAATATAGACTCTCGGTCCCACATCCTAGTTAAGGCGTTAGTGGGTTGCTCGTTTCGGCTCTAAATCACCAAATCTTCAAGTTTCCAATAAAGTAAAATCGAGGTATTGCGACATAGTTTTTGTTAAAACTCATGTATAAAAAATGCCTATTAGTTGTTTTAATGTGTTCTATGTTATTTCGTGATTGTTTTGCGATTTAATTAATTTGTTATTTTTTATCCGAATTATATTATTAGTGTGCTAAAAAATTTGGTAAAATAGAGAAATTGTTATTAGTTGTTAAAAAAATATTAATTAGTTAATTTTTACTGTGGTATATATTTTTTCGTGATTGTTTTATGATTAAATTAATTTATTATTTTTATCCGGATTAATTTGTGATTAAATTGTTTGCTAAAAGACTAGTAAAATAGATAAATTGTTACTTTAGTTTCATGTAGTGGTATCTTGTGCCATAATATAGTGCTAGTATTTGTAATGTAGGGTCCTTTTAGCGTAGTAAAATATAGTTCCCTTTAGCGTAGTATCTTTGTAGTTATTAAAATTAATCATTTAAGTATCTGTTAAATCCAAGAATATTTTAAAGAAACTGGTAGTTCAAGCACAAATCCTCTTCAATTCTAGTCAACAAACGTAAGAAAATAACATGAGAAAATTATATTTGTCAAACGAAGTATTGTTATATGAATATTTAATAATTAAATCTTGTATAGTTATGAGAATTAATTATTTAATTTTATTATAGTCAAAAATATGTGAGTAACAAACAAACATTTAAAATAATAAAACTAACATATAAAATAATAAACTAACATATAAAATAAGAATCAAATATATTAAATAATAAAAAAATATNCAAATATATTAAATAATAAACAAATATATAAAATAGTAAACTAACATATAAAATATTAAAGTAACATATAAAATATAAAATTATAATTTATTTTCAGCCCAATTAGCAATATAGTAAAAATATCGAATAAATTTTAATATTAAAGGTATTGCAATATATTTAAAGATGTTAAGCAATGAAAAAGAAAAATACTTTAATTAATATTGTTCAATTTACAGTAGTAGTCATAGAGGTTCCGCCTGTGCATCCCGGACTTGCCTCGCTATAGCTACTGTTGCTTCAGGCCGAGCATAGGTCTTCGTACATATGGGAGGGGCAGTTATTGGTCCAGACGTTCCGTGCTAGAAGAGTAGACGATATGTGGGACTTTCTTAGGGCCCACCATCTCCATACCTGTATAGTCAGACGCCTTAAGTATACGGGTTTCTATAGGATTATTGAGATCGGCCGGTTGCAGCTGGATTGGTCGTTGATCACGTCTTTGATAGAGCGGTGGCGACTGGAAACGCACACATTTCATTTACCCATTGGCGAGGCTACTATCACGCTTAAAGACGTGGAGGTTCTATATGGGCTGCCGGTTGATGGACATCCTGTAGCTTTACCGCATACTATTAGAGATTATACGTGATTGCAGTACCTGGAGGTGTTGCAGCGGCTCACCGGTTTCCAACCAGCGGATGAGGTTGCATTGGTTGGGGCTAGTCGTCTGCAGTTGACGCCCGTCTGGCTGCATCTAGAGGCGATGTATGCGGACATTGCAAATGATACACCGAATCTTCATATTATCGGTACACGAGGTTGTTGATACTGCTTATGTTTGGAGGGGTATTGTTCCCGAACACTTCGGGAAAACTAGTCAGCTTGAGATTTCTTCATCATCTTGAGTGGCTAGATGATTTATCTGATTACAGCTGGGGTGCAGCTGTTCTTGGTTACTTGTATAGGCAGATGTTTCGGGCTAGCATGGGCACCCGGCGAGATATTGCCGGATTTTTGCAGATGCTGCAAGTGAAAACATAGTCAATTATTTTCATGATTATAACATATATAGTAAAAATATACCTTAAGTTTTACGTCTATATTGTATATTAGGTTTGGGCCTGAGAGCGGTTCCTGCAGTTGCAGCCACCTCTACCACCCTTCGCTCCGGATGCACCACCTCCACCGTTTCTCCCTTTAGCTAGGAGGTGGGTTGATAGGCGGGGATACGGACGCGAGTACAAGGCTCGACATAATCTCCCCTATTGCAGGGATTTGTTGGATTTGCTGGAGGGCACGTAGGTAAATGTATACTTAAGTTTACTTGGCCTGGCTTTATATGTGTTGCGTATACTCACGGTTCCTGTTTTTACTTAATAGTTCATTTGGAGGCCATACAACAACGAGATAATAGCTGGTTTGCCCGATTATTGCTCGACCGACCGAATTATGTGGAGCTTTTACGTCCCATTGATATGTCTCAATATTGTCGAGCATCATGACACCGAGTGAGTCCTTCGCCAGTCTGGCTTCCCGGACATTGAGGCGAGCTCGAGATGATGAGCGCTTGGGATACGAGGCTGATTATGTGCCGCCAGAGCAGTGCCATCGTGGGCCACCAGTGGAGCCTGAATGTGGTCGACGTGGCAGGCGTGCCCAGATAGGTAGGGGTGTCCCACGAGGTCATGGGGGTCGGCGAGGATGTGGTCCCCAGCAAGGGGGAGTTGAGGCACCTGTTGGGGATGTTGGAGTTGATCAACCAGGTGACCACCATGAGCCAGACCATGCTCCTAGAGATATGCCGTCATTCAGACTTTAACTTACTCCAAAGACTTCGCAGGTGACCCCGTCAGCTCCATTGTTGATCGCGGGCAGAAATAAAATAAAATAGATAGAATGAAAAATACAAGGAGAGACACTAGTAGCTGCAGAACGGCTCAGAAAGTCAGCTCACCACTATGCCCCTGGATAGCATGTGTGTATAACGATAGGTCCCCCACTAGTACTTGTCTCAGGTCCTACACAAAAAGTGCAGCAAGTGTAGTATGAATACGTAAACAACATGTACCCAGTAAGTATCAAGCCTAATCTCGAAGTGGTAGAGACGAGATGACCGACTTTGACACTCACTATGGGTCAATAATAATAATTGAAATACGAATATTTAAATCAGCATGATTCACAGAATTTATAATAATTTATTTAACCAGCGAAAATAATCAAATTCCTTCAAATGCAACAATTATCAATATATTAATTAAATTCCTTCAATTCAAATAATTTCCAATTTATCAATTAAATCTCATTTACANTATTATCAACTTTGAGTCACCAATAATTTACATACCCTTTTAGTTAGAAACCTTTCTCTTGCTTCTTTCCAGGAGGAAATCACAATACATAACACGTTCTCCACACCGGTAGAAACCATCAAGAATACTTTGGAATCCATTTGCACATAATCAAGCCCTTAAAACTAAATTCCTTTAACTCGACCAAGCCACGCAGGTCGCCAAGTCCAGGTGTATTGCCACAAAGCACCTGTAGAAAACCCCCACATCATATGCACCCAAAGAACCGTTCTTATCCATTACCATACTGATCTAACCTACTACCTAGTTGTCCTATTTTCTCCGAGTCCCTTCCGAATTTATCTTCAGATTGATACTTCTTCTTGCTAAAATACCACGATCTTTAACCATAACTCACACTACAAAACTTAGCATAGAACCACAACGCCCTACGGCCCATAAGCAACTGTATTTTTCTTAAGTACCTTCAAAAATACCACAACTATAACACTCACTCTGAGAATACCTTATGTGAATTTGAAATTGTTCTTCTTACCTTCCTTATACAAAAATGTAGAATCCTTAGTCATATAGAATTTTCGCAAGTCCAGGCACCATCAAACACAAATCTCGTATTTTATCCATGCACAAGTCCGGAAACATTCTCAATTGCTACATATAATTCTCAAACCCATTGGAATCTTTTTCTCGGGAGTCACCCACTTTGCTCAAATCTAATTGCACCGCCCAAATGGGCCAAAAGACACGTGCCCCATTAGCACCACAACACTCAAAGAAGTAACTCTACTTTAACACCACATATCAAATTCATACTCCGTGCGCACTACGTCATTCACCAATAACAACTCACTCATCCAACGAATTTTATATACTCATACGTGCAATATAATCCTTAACCAGGAATTTTCTTATTTGAGTCATTCTCGATCTAAACTTTNACAAGTATGCCTCAGACCAAAATTAAAATTTAACACCTAACCATGAAATCAAATTGTCAATAGCAGACTCCCCTACTTGGCTCAAAGCCATAGATTAAAACATTCCATAACTCACAATACCAATACTCTTTTACTGCCATAATGCCACAGTTAGTCCAACGAAACTTCTTCCTAAGTTCATACAACGCCAACCATAAAAATACCTCAATCATCCGCTAAGCTCGTATTCATCCTCTTAACACACAAGTCAACTTTCTCAACCAGATTAAAATTTAAATCTCCACCCATACACCCCGTCGGCAGAAAAGAAACTCTCTACTCACATCATAAGGAATACTCCTACGTAGATTACTCTGTAGGGGATAATCCACCAGTTTAGCCTCAATCTGGTATCTTGTTATACCTTTCGCATTCACAATTACTATACAATCACTTAGTCTATCTGAGTCCAAATTCATTAACTAGACGTGAGAATTTAGTTTTACCCCAAAATTTAACAATGTGAAAGATCCTTCAAAATATTCATACTGGAGACTTTACATTTCAAGGAAACACTTATCGTCATATTCAAATCGTCTTAACACATCTCGCATTTACATCATACTCATCACAAAGCCATTCCGCCGCTCATCGAGCCAAAACTTCCACTCATAAGGATATTACCGGACATATGAGTCCAAATGTACAGGTTACAACTGCAGCTACCGAGCCTAAGCTGCGATCTAAACCTGGCCTCAAGTCCTCCAGACTGGCCCATCACCAAAATACAGAATACACATCTTGAACCTCGTTCATAGAATCACAAGCCGTCGATGCACAACTGATACCGAGCGCTCATGTGCGAATACGAATACGTGGAAGGAATTGAAAGAGTTATGTCTCAAGCTGAATAAATCTCGCACGATAAGGAAAGAAAGATGGGAAGTATATATCCTAAATGCCCTGTAGCCTCTCGAAGATAAGTATGGACGTCATCATACCGATCCGCAAGACTCTACTAGACACTTGCTCATGACTTGTAGAACCTATGAACCTAGAGCTCTGATACCACCTTGTCACGACCCAAAATCTAACTAGTCGTGATGGCACCTAAACCAACCCGCTAGGTAAGACAACTTTTAATTATCCAATTCCAATAATGATTATTAAAGCAATTTAAGTGAATAAACATCTTAATCTTATACATCCCCCAAGAACTGGTAGTACAAATCATGAGTTGCTAAGAATAGAGTATACAAGCGGAAATGAAATAAATACATAGTCTGTTTGAATAATACATAAACAGAGCTTTTATAAATC